TCTGACTTGTAATCAATAACACCATGAATTATAGATCAGTTCCATGCAGGGATTTATTTGAAAGCCTTTCCCTGTGGGGACTTAAGTAAATGCACAAACCTGACTCACCATTCTGCTAAAGCTCTGGGTACACTGAATGAAAAGGGGGGTTAATTCATATAGATATGTTTTTTTCTTTAACATTTTCTTCCTGAAGCAAACTAGATTTAGTTCTGAGCTGTGTGGATGCTGTTGGGTTCTCACCCCTCCAGCCCAGACAGAGATGCTTGGAATACAACTCCTGGGAAACAGGAAGCTGATGATTTCTCTGCCTAAATTCCTAAATTACCTCTCACTGTGGGCATTTTACATGACACCTCTGTGCTTCAGTTTAAGCATGAAATTTAGCCCTGGGTATTACAAAATCCTTCTGTGGTTAAATCCTCAGTGAAACACAAACCCGCTCTGAGGGGTTGAGTGATACACAGGGAGGATGACAAAGGAGAGAATTTCACCAATTAAATCAATACATTTCTGCTCATTCCATGTGGGTATTTTGAAGTCTAATTAATATACAGTTGCAAAGAGGTTTGAGTTTGCTGTTAAAAGCCACAATGAAAACATGAACTATCATTAGTAGCTGTGTGGCATCATTAAAAGTGCCCTGAGGAACTCACCCTTTGGGACACCAGGTCGGTCAGAATGATAAGCAGTGATCTTTATGCATCAACTGCTTGATCATAAAGGTTTTCAAAACTTATCATTATAAAATTCCCCTCTTTGGGGTATTTGAAGCTCACACAATTATCTAGGACATAACTATCTCAATCTGCTCCACTGGATTGGTTCTTATCTTCAGCTATCACTGAGAAAGGGTTTTACTTACCCCTCCTGTTTCTTTTTAGGCTTTAGCTGGAGACAACTCTCTTTACTCCCTGACAGCTCAGGCCTTTCTGGAGGGGCTGCAGACTCTGCTGAAGAGGAGCAGGACTTTGGGCCAGAAATAAGCTTCATTTTCTTCAGCTTTATTGCTTCTTCAGTTGCTGGGTTCCTCAAAACCTAAAAGGTAACAGAAGGTTTTACCTGTGCTCCTCAGCTGTAGGATCAGCTCTGGCTTCAGCTCTTATCCACCCAAAAACCCACCAGGACATCCAGTGACTGTGACTTCACAACCTCTTGCTTCCCAGACAAATTGTGCAGCTTTTCCTGGAGTTGTGCTGTTGAATGTTGCATCATTAAGATTTCTCTTTGCTGCTTTAACAAAAGCTTTCTTTCTTGATGGGCTGCCCTGTAGATGTTTTGCAGGTGCTGGATTTCTGCCTACGCAAAGCACAAAAGGAAAGGAGCATAAGAGCACAAGACCTACTTAAAAAGTTATAAAGTTTCTTAACATACTACTCATAAAACACCCTGAAAATTCAATATGCAGGTTTGGCTCCTTCTTTTTAAAAAATTTTGCAGTTTTATTTTTCACTGGGGGCTTAAGGAGGGGTTTACCTGTGAAAACCAATGACAGATAAGGGGATATTTCAGTGGTGTGTCAAGAGGTGAGACCTTTAAAAATTAATTATCTTCAGATCATTCAAAACTACAGGATGCTTGTGGTTTGCATTAGGAATCCCTTTAAGGGAAGGACAGGCTTGTACTACATAAGGAGCAGGACACACTTTCTGACTACCAAGTGTAATTATGAACCCCACACAGCAGAATAACTGAGACTATAAAATTAGCTGTCAGATTAATTTAATGTATTTCAACATCAGAAGCATAAATCTGCATAAATCAGTGAAAACCTATATTACATGACCTGTTTGTTATAGCACAAATAGAAAAATCCACAATAACAGTGAAGTAGCAGAAAACAAGATATAAAAAGATGTTTCCTCTTATCCAAGATTTACAGACTGCTGACTTTGGCACAAAAAACACCTCCCTGAATGTAGGAAACAAGCATACAAAGTGATTTTTTTATTTTTTAAAAGCAAACCCCACTTGCTCCAGCAATTCCCTGTGCTGCGTCTTCCCACTAGTTATGAGGTGGAGCCCTGCTCCTCTCACTGCAGCATTACCTGCTCCTGTTTCAGCTCCATGAGGATTTTGTGCTGCTTTGCTGCCATGGCAGAGGCTCCATGACTATCCTGCAGGTTTTCCAGAACACTGGAGATCAGAGAAGGATGAGAATCACAATCAGATAGATAATTAAACGCCTTGAATTTACTGCCCTTTGGAAAACAACACCAGGGATGGGAGAAAAGCTCCTCTCAAACCAGCAGTAGCTATGGAGGGCTCTGCAGAAAGTTCTTCAAGATTGAGAGGACATCTCCCAACTTTGGGTCTGTGGTGTCTGGACCTGTCCCAAGGCAGATGGAGTCCCCTGAGTACTCAGTGCACAGCACTGGTGAGAGACACGGTGCACTTGGGGTGCTCACACTGCATCCCTCACCATCCCTGAGGGGCCATCAGCTCAGTTGGCACTGAAGGAACCCCCTCATTGTCCCTGAGGGCATCTTAGCTTTGTCAGCACTGAAGGACACCCCTCCTCATCCCTGAGAGTCCCTCATCCCAGTCAGTGCTGAGGGACATGGGTTCATCATCCCAGTCAGTGCTGAGGGACACCCCTCACCATCCCTGAGGGTTCCTCATCCCAATCGGCGCTGAGGGACACCCCTCACCATCCCTGAGGGTTCCTCATCTCAGTTGGCACTGAGGGACACCCCTCACGTCCTCAAGGGCTCCTCATCCCAGTCAGTGCTGAGGGACACCCCTCACCATCCCTGAGGGTTCCTCATCTCAGTCGGCATTGAGGGACACCCCTCAC